TCATCCTTCACCAGATCCCAGAATCTGTGGCATGCATCTTTCTTCCGACCCCCCCACCTCACCCTAAATCCCCCTTTTTAGCCCCTTCAACAGACCACAAAATCTGTGGCAGCATGCATCTTTCTCCCCTTCCCCCCTCCCCCCCGTTCCCGCAAATCTCCCTCCCCCCATCTGGCCCCGAGAACCCCCATTTAATGCATCCCCTTAGGTAACCCGCCGTCAGCCCCCCTCCCTATCACAGTTACCCCACTTTCTCCCTCCCCCTCTATCCCCCTAAAACCCCCATTCCACGCAGCCCTCTGACGCGCTTGCACCCCTTCTTTTTTCTTTTTTATTATGTTTATTGTTTCTCTTTTTTTCCTCGTTTTTTTTTCCCCTCATTTTTCTTTTATCATCAACCGCGTTCAGCCCTTCTTTTCTTCAGTTTCCCCACCTCTTCCCTCCCCGTCTTCGGGGCCGAGACCCCCATTTATCCCCCCATTCAATCCCCCATTTATACCCCCATTCAATCCCCCATTTACCCCCCCATTTAACAATTCATTTAACACCCCATTTAACAATTCATTTAATACCCCATTTAACAATTCATTTAACACCCCATTTAACAATTCATTTAACACCCCATTTAACAATTCATTTCATTTAACACCCCATTTAACAATTCATTTAACATCCCATTTAACAATTCATTTCATTTAACACCCCATTTAACAATTCATTTAACACCCCATTTAACCACCCGAACCCCCCATCTAACGCAGCCTTCTCCCTACCCCTCTCCGCCACGAAGACCCCCATGCAACCCAGCCCTCTGGTGCGCTTGCAACCCTTCTTTACCTCACAGAACGAACCCCCCTATTCAACCCCGCGTTCTAACGGGCCTTCAGCCCCCCTTCATCTCACACTTACCCCACCTTTCCCATATCTACCAAGCCCCATTCCTTAACCCTCCACCCTGGAAATTTAACGATACCCACTCCAGCGCGTCGCGCCCCTCCCCTCCCCCTCATTTCCAACCTCCCTTTTGCTCTTCCTTTCCGCGCGCCGTCCCCCGCCGCTCCTCCCCCCCCCCCCCCCCCCTTCCCAACTTTTACCCTTCCTTTTGCCCCCCTTCTACCCGCACATTTATTCCCGGACAATTTCGCCACTGGCCCCCCTCCACCTCCGCCCCTTGCCTCCCGACTCCTACCCGTCTTAACCCGAATAGAACGCACGGTCATTAGCGCTGTATCTAGACTGAAAGTTGCCCCAAATACAAGCATAATGACCGTCCGTTCTATTTGCGGGAAGACGGGTAAGCGCGGACGCAGTCAAGCAGCGGGGGAAAATAGCTGTATCTAGACTGAAAGTTGCCCCAAATACAACAACAGGCATAATGACCGTCCGGGAGGGAAACGTAGGACAGGATGGAAGATGCCTGACCAGAGGAAGAGGGAGGCGGCGCGGAGAAAAAGAAAAGGAAAAATTGTATTAAAAAAAAAGATCGAAGATCAGGGCCCTCGCTCCACCACTCGCCAAATGTGAAAAAGACAAAACGAATAGCAAGTGTATCTTTCCACCATCTAGCTGAAGATACACTCATCCCTTCACCACATTTACTGAGCACGGCAGCGAGGCCCATGGTTACCGTAATTAGCCCGTTTCTCTGCGAGCGCGCCGTGCATGTGCGGCTTTGTCTGATGCGCATTCTGTGCGCCGGTTACGCCTGCGTATGCGCGGGTTGCGCCTGCGTATGCGCGGGTTGCGCCTGCGTATGCACGAGCGTGTGTGTCTGTGTGTGTCTGTGTGTCTGTGTGTGTCTGTGCGTGTCTGTGTGTCTGTGTGTGTCTGTGTCTGTGTGTCTGTGTGTGTCTGTGTGCGTGTGTGTGTGTACGTGGGAACAAGTGGAAGTTACTCGCCAGAACGGCCAGGTGAAGGTTCTGTTCAAAATTAAAAAAAAAAAAAAAGGGAGGGAGGGGAGGAGAGGAGGGGGGGAAAA